GACTTGTTTGAGCCCAGGAGTTGGAGGTTGCTGTGAGCTGTGATGCCATAGCACTCTACCCAGCTTGAGGCTCTGTCTCAAAAAAAAAAAAAAAAAAAAAAAGATTTGGAAGAAGGGATTCAACTATCTAAGGAAAAATATTTTTTTTAACCATAGGAATAAATAGCTCTGAGGTCTCTTCCTGTCCCAGCACTGGGATTCGGTACTCCACTTCTGTGTGAACCAAGGGGCCGATGGGCACCACTGGGTTAAGGTACTCTTTCTTCCAGGTACAAGGTGGTATTCCATTAGAAGCCTGCTGCAGGAGGTAGTATGGTGGGTTTTCAACCTGTGTCACAGAGCCCTGGTTTCTTCTGAGGGCCCTAAGGGGCCTGTTTGGGAGGCTTTATTCTATTTTTATGAGTGGAGAAAATAATCCTAGACTACAATGCCCATTTTCAAAAGGCTAAGATCATCTAGACACCCTATTTATTGTTCTCAGCAGTTTACAATAAGCAAATGGTATAAATGTGAGCTTTTGGTTACATTTATACTAATAAAATTCTGCTTTTTAAAAATATATGAGAGAGAGAGAGAGAGAGTCTTACTCTGTGCCCTGGGTAGAGTGTCAGGGTATCATACCTCACAGCAAACTCAAACTCTTGAGCTCAAGCAATTCCCTTGTTTCAGCCTCCAAGCAGCTGGGCCTAGAGGTGTCTGCTTCAACACCCAGCTAGTTTTCCTATTTTTAGTAGAGACAGTGTCTTGCTTTTGCTCAGGCTGGTCTCCCAGAGTGCTGAGATTACAGGCATGAGCCACCATACCCAGCCTTGCTTTTATTTGTTTCAGATATTAGGGTTTGATGCAAGACATTATTTTAGGAAAAGGTCTTGCTGCTAAAAATAATTTTCAGAAATGCTAATCTGATTAATCTGAGGGAATCTAAGATGCCATGCATGGGAAGCCATTTGAGGAAGAAAGAAAAGTATGCATTGAATGTCTATTGTAGGTCAAGTACTAGACTAGATCTTCATGTTTCTTCTTATTTCTTTAATCATAGTAGTTCTCTGAGATAGGTTTGTTTTTTTTTTTAACGATTCTTTTTTTCTTTTCTTTTTTCTTTCTTTTTTTTTTTTTTGCAGTTTTTGGCTGGGGCTGGGTTTGAACTCACCACCTCCGGCATATGGGGCTGGCGCCCTACTCCTTTGAGCCACAGGTGCCGCCCCTGAGATAGGTATTTTTATGCCCATTTTACAGATGAGAAAACTAGCTCTGAGAGGTTAGGTGACTTGCTCAAGGTTGCACAGCCAATAATTGGCAGAGGCAGTATTCAAATTCAGCTCTGACACCCACCAAACATCCCTATTTCCAACATACCACAATACAGCTATAAAACAAGACTAGTTTTCTAATGTGGTTCAAAAATTGTTCAGAAGCCAGTGCCACTAAAGAATTTCTCAAACGTCTTGTCCAGCTGTTCTGGAAAAGAACACTGAGTAACAATCTTGAAGATTGATACCTATTTGGATGTGAACATCCTGTTATGTTGATTCCTTTTCTTTTCTTTCTTTTTAAAATCTCATCACACCTCATGTTTTAGGGTAAATCAACTCTACTTGTCTGGGGTGGGCTGTGGAAGGGATATTTTTGGCACTTGAAACATTTCCCCGCATGGGCTGAGTCATCCTGGTGGCTCCTTCCTTCTTTGTCTCTAGATGTCCAATCCTGATCAGGGCCCACCCATGGGGTAGGTCCCAGGAGGGTATTCCAGGTGGGGCACAGGCAGCGGAAGGTACAGGCAGGAGTTATTTCTTACCCAAGTTGGGGTCATATTCGCTGATAAACCTCTTGGTCAGAAACTTCACAGTCAGAGCTGCAAGAAGCAGAAAGAGGTTGGCTAAGTCTACCCAGCTGTGTCTGGCTGCTGGCCCCTCTCTTTTTAGGCAGGCCTTATCTAACCTCTGTGATCCCTGGCTAAGACCACGATCAGCTCTCTCAGTGTCTGGGAAACTGAAGAGCTGGTTTGAGAAGCTCAGAAGAAACAAGAAATATGAGGAGTTGAGTCCCTATAATTGCACCCTGGGATTTTTTTTAATGGCAAGAAAAGCAACAAGAGCCAAGCCTAAGGGGTATTTGTGAAGATGAAACGCAGGGGTCAGGGCACATGCAACCAGTTACCTCAGGGTCACCCTGCTTAGACGCCAGCTGAAGGGAGATGTAGCCCACCATGGACAAGTCACAAAGATTCTGAAGTGCAGAGCATTTATTCTAGCCTCGGCTATGAGCCAAAGAGAAAGAGCAGGAATGATCAGTAGGTGATCCCTGGGAAGAGATTTCCAGGTGAGGTCCAGGCAAGATCTGAGTCCTGAGTAAACACATTCTGGTCCCTGTCCCTCATATCTCAAGTCTTGGCTCTTTCTGGGGCCTCCATGCTCATCATGGGTATCTCAGCAAAATGTAAAACTCTAGAATGACATTCTCCACAGTGGAACTCATTAATAGGATTCTGATTTGGTTCAGTCAGGCATCCTCAAACTACGGCCCATGGGCCACATGCAGCCCACCTAGGACATTTATCTGGCCTGCGGGGTGTTTTTGCTGCCACTGCCTGTCCTGCTTAGCAGCCAACTCGTCCCAGGGCCTGCAGTCCGGCCCTCCAGTGGTCTGAGGGACAGTGAACTGGGCCCCTGTTTAAAAAGTTTGAGGACCCCTGGTAGCTACATAAAGCAAGGGCTAGCCAACTATTATACTGAATTCTTAAAAAGTAATATGATATTGTTAAGAAAATCCTTAACATTCTTTCCTAGGATTCCTAATAGTGTCATCTTGCAAACTAATACCCAGGGAATACATACTTTAGAATTTAAATTCTTTCATTCAAGTTGTCACTGCTAAACCGTACTAGTGACAGAGCTATATACAGCAACCTGATTTCCAAAGGGAAGAAGGAAAATCTTTTCTGTAGGAAAACCAGATATAGAATCCCCCGAGTCAGAAAGGGCTTCAAGGTCAAACAGTAGCCCCCAGTGAACCTCAGTACTCTGGAGAAGGAAACTGATGGTTACCCAAGCATGGGGTGGCCATCACTAACCGCTACAACTGAAAACCAGCCAGTGGAGGAGCCCCTCTGCCCTCCTTCCTTCAGCTGTCTGGGATTTGGGGTAGCAGGGGAGAGGCAGAGGCAGACCTTTTTTTCTCTGATGACATTTCCATTCCCCTGGGCTCCAGCTGCCAGAGTTCAGTGTTGAAAGAAATTATCTCAATGGAAGCCCAAGATTTCAGTTCATCAAGGACAAGTCCCAGGTACCTGGGATCACAGCCCAATGTGTTTCCAGAAAGTTAAGAGAGGGGTCTGTCTTGAAACAAACACATTTCATAAGAATTCACAATTTATCCCATACTCCCAGGGAACTGGTTTGGGGAGTAGGGGAGTGACCCTTCCCTGAGAAATCCAGTTAGCTATAAATTTCGACCAACTTCCTTCACTGGGGTCAGGGTGCCGTGTGGATGGTGGATGTAAGGGACTTCCTCACGTAAGCCTAAATCAGGGAGTAGCAAGGCTAAGCTCAAAGAGGGCCCTGGGCAGGAGATCAGAGCCCAAGGATGCCTTTGGAGCCAGTCACCAAGACTGAATGCTTGACCCAGGAGGGGAGACAGGGTTAGGGGTTGGGGGACTAGGAACAAGGGAGACCCTTTATGGGGGACAAAGAAAGACAAAGGGGAGAAACAGAGGGAGGGGAACAAAGGTCAGACACACAAGGGGAAGAGACAGACAAGAACAGAAGACAGATGAAAGAGTTGTTGTAGCTGAGAACGAAGCCAAGAGTGAGAACCCTGCAAAGGAGAAACTGAGGCGAAGAAGAAAATCACGGCGTCTCGTACAACTCACCTGGGCGAAGGGAGCCCTCAAAGCTAGTGGAAGAACGTGCTCCCACGTCCGCAGCGCGTTGTTCCCTCCACCCACTCTCTGTGTCGCCATTCTTCTCCATGCCCCTGCCCCGCGCCACTCACCAGACTTGCCAACCCCGCGGCGCCCCAGGATGGCCAGGTTGACTTCGAGAGGTACGCTCTGCGGCCCGCTGCCCGCGCGGGGTTTTCCGAACACCGAGGACATGGCGACGCCTTGGAGAGCGACACGGGTGTTCCGCCGATGGGCCCCGAGCAGCGCGCCTGCCCGTCGGGGCCCCGAGATCCGGACGCCGGCTTCCCTGGCACTCGCCGGCCGCCCTCGCGCGGAGCGCCTAGCAGGCTGCGACTCGGCGGAGAGGAGGGGCGGGAGCAGCCCGGCGGGCGGGGCCGCCCCAAACGCCACCAAACTCCTTGTAAGGGCTGCAGGAGCCCCCCACGGGCCGCGCTCAGCCCGCTCCCCGAGCAGGGAGGGAACTTCAGCCTCAGGGAGGGAGCTTCAGCCGGCCGCGCCTCCCGCCTCCCTGCTCCGCCGCAAGGACCCGGGCGCCGTCAACCTCCTCACCTCCCCCAGACTCCACTGGGAAGGACGAGAAAGAGGGAATCTCGGGGGCAGAGGGATAGACGGGAAAGATGTTTCCAGACTTTCCTGAACCTCCACTCCATTCTCTTCCCAACAGCAAGAAAATCAACCCTTCCCCCAAGCTCCCTACCCCCAACTCCTCCAGGAAGCCTCCTGGGTTCAGTTCCATGCCTTTTCCTTTCTTTTGGTCACAGCCAGCTCAGCCTTGGCACTCTTTTCCCAATACCTGCCTTTCACGTAGGGACTTTAGAGCCATAACTGTAGAACCCAGGCTCCTGGGAAAGGGGAGTGAGCACCCTTACTGAGATTTCATGGAGATACGGGTTCAGCTTCAAGAAACCTAACCCTTCTTGGATTACTCTTTCTCCTTGATGGGAGCTAATGAGTTGCATGTGTTTGTGGCCTTTGTGTAAATGGGGTATTTGTTCTGAAACCTGGCACCCTCTCTTGCCTACAGCAATTCTGGAACTGGTGGTGAGCCTGGCAGGGGTCACCTGACTCAGGGTAAACCTGGAGACAGTGGTGGCCCAGGATGGCCAGGTTGACCTCAGGGGCAGGCAAGGGCCCACACTGAGAACCCCAACACTTAGGATCTAGTGCTAGCCCCTTCCTTTGGGTGACCTTGGGCAAGTTATTTTGCTTTTTTGGGCTTGGGTGTCCCTGTCTATAAATACTTAAGGAAGGAGAAAATAAATCTGACGCTCCATGATGTGACATAGGCCTAACAGAGGTGACAGAATCGGCCCTGAGTACATTCGAGAATTTTGTGAGGCATCTCTTCTAGAAAACTCCAGGCTAGAGAAGGGAAAAGAATGGGAGCCTCAGAGACCTCTCTCAGCAGCCCTTCCCCTTCCACAGATGGTTAGCCCATCTACCCACCCACCCACAAGAGAAACGTGGAAATTCAGGAAAGGTTGGGGCAGAGCTGGATGGTGATAGCCTCTTTTTCATCAAAAAGGAAATTATTTTTCTGGATAGGACATGAATATAAACTCAGCCTAATTGTGTTTCAGGGAGATCATGGTAATCCAGCTGTGTTATTAAGACTCTAAGGTATTGGGAGGAATTTATTTAGATTACACCCTCAGACCAGAATTGCTCACACAGCTAATGACTGAAGGCTTCCCTTTGAGTTGTAGGAGTTGAGACAGTGGGAGCCAAGTTCCAGCCACAACCCTGGGCTGGCCCCAGTCCTATGAAGACAGATTGGTTCTGGATGGGGCCTGTGGGGAGATAACCAATCTCTCTGGAGGACTGCTGGAGGGAGGGCAAGCTATGGACCTGACAGGCCCAGCAGCATATAAGCTTGAGCTGTTACTTCCAAATTGTGTGATGCTGGGGAAGTTATTTGACCTCTAACTGTTCTCAGTTTTCTCATTTTTAAAGTTTGGACCAATCAGAAGCTGCAAGGAGGCCATATTAAGGTGAACTCTCTAACTATCTCAGCTGTCCATAGTTAGAAAGGACTGTCTTTGGAGGAAGTGAGCTTCTGACACTGGCAGCAACCAAGGAGGTGACCACTTCAAGGAGTTGTTATAGAGACTCCACCACAATTTGCATGATGCAATGAGATGAGATGAGATGATCCTTAACTTCCTTCTATATCTAGTTAATAGCCCATTGGCTACTCAGAACCTCAGCTGGGACAACTCACTTCTGTCCCTCCTCTAAGTCTTGGGAGGAAAACAGTGCCTACCTCATGGCTATTAACTATCCCTTCTACCATCCTCAGTCTCACCTGTGGGCTGCTTATCCAGCACCCAGAAGTTCTCACTGTGGACTGAAAAGGCCTTGGGGATCAGTCACTTACTGTAAGACCTTGGAATTAGTTACTTTTCCTTTAGGGGGCCTTAGTTCCTTATCTTTAAAATAGGAATAATATTAAGGATTATATGACATAGGGTGAAAGTGTCCTACCTAGAGCTTGGATCATGGTCCAAAAACTCAAATGATAGCTCCCTCCACTCTCCACTCCCCCCGGACATAAAGAACACATAATGTGGGTGGTGCCTGTAGCTCAGTGGCTGGGGCACAGGCCACATACACACAGGCTGGCAGGTTCGAACCCAAACCGGGCCTGATAAACAATGACAACTACAACAAAAAAAAATTGGGTATTGTGGTGGGTGCCTGTAGTCCCAGCTACTTGAGAGACTGAGGCAAGAGAATAGCTTGAGCCCAACAGTTTGAGGTTGCTGTGAGCTGTGACGCTATGGCACTCTACCAAGAGTGACATAGTAAGACTCTGTCTCAAAAATAATAATAATAATAATAGTCACTCTATTGGTCAGAAGTTTAGACACTTCAGGTCAAGAGAGAGGTTACTCTGATGGGGTGGATAGCCCAACTCTCCTTACTCCACCCCATAAAGGTTCTCCTAGGAGGCCCTCAGGCACTCAAAATGTAGAGGATGTGGCACTGAGCCCAGCAATGGGCATACAGCAGGTGCTCAATAGATACCTCTGGAGTTAATGAGTGCGGCATGTATATAGGTCCAGACATGTAGGCCTGTGAGGTTTTCCCAATGGCAAGACCTACCCTTGCCACCTACCTCCAGCAATCATTTCACATAAATCTAAGCTTTTGGTAACCCTTTGTGATCTTGCTGCCTTTTCTGGAGACACAACATGATAGCCACTTCTGGCGTTGCTCAATGATAAAGTCAAAGCTGAACAAAACCTTAAAGTCAGATTCAAATTTACAGATGAAGAACTGAGGCCTAAAGAGGTTGAGTAGCTTTTGCAAGTCAGTAGTAGTAGCAGCAGCAGAGCCCAGGCAGAAATTCTGACTTCCATCTCCAGTGCTCTTCCTTCTCTAGGTTCAGGTAGTACAAGCCTCTCAGTACTCTATGTGCAGAAATACCACTATAGGTGACAAGGGTAAGACTGTGGAGGAAAGGGGTGCCTCCCAGGCAAGGGCTGTGTCTCCTCTATCAGATTGGAAGCTCTCCTAGGGCTGTGTCTTTAGTCTGATGGAGAAGACATAGGTGAAGATCCAGAATCTACTTTAACAGGCCCCTACCATGTGCCAATCAAGTGGATACAGGGATAAGGCTGGGTCTGCTCTAAAAGGCTTAAAGTTTGACATAGACTCCTTTCCTTGTCCCCACCCCCAACCTCATACAGTGTGGGGGATGCAGGGTGGAGAGGAAGATTGGTGAAGGGTCGAGCAGGGCCTGGGAACTCTGTGGGCTACCCACATCCAGGATAGTTCCTTGTCCTTTCCAAATCCCAGAGGGACTTTCAATGTCCGGGAGGAGGAAACTCTCCCCAGCTGCAGACAACACCCCACTGGAGCCTTGGAGTCAGGGCCAAAGAGCTGATCCTCAGCCCAGCCTCAGAAACCTGACCCCCCACCTTGGGTGACCTACTGTCTGGCAGCTGATGGTGGAAACTAACTGGGTGTGTGCACGAGCCCCAACCCACTCAAGCCAGAGCTGGACTTGGGGAAAAAACTGAGCTGAGAGCGAACTTCAGCCAGGAGGGGTTTACATACCCTCCCCTTCCTGCTCTCAGGAGAGGGCCAGGCAATGGTTCCATCTGGTTGTATCTGCCAGTTACGGGTCCTGGAACAGGCCATTTGGGAGACTGGAATATGCAGCAGCCCTGGCCCCTTGGGGGTCAGCCCCTCCCCAGTCCTGCCCATTATTTGAGCCCAGCAGAAGGTAGATGTTTCCCTGCTCTGAGGCAAGTCTAGAGCAGGTGAAGAGAGGCAGCAGGGCTGGAGCAGGAGAACAGGGCCTGGGTCAGATGGTTGGGTTTAACCCAGCCTCATATCCTCGTTCATAACCAGGGAGAAGCCCAGCTCATCTCTAAGCTTTTGTTTTCTCATCCATGGATTGGGAACAGTCAGACACCCTCTATCATTAAGGCCACCAAAAGGACAGCCAGAACCCAGCATTGAGACCCCACTTGTCCCCAAGAGGGGAATTGTCATCCCTGCTGCCCAGACGTTTGAGGCCCTTTCAGCCAATGTCTGGCCTCAAGGAAGGAGAGAAGCTGAAAGAGGCCCTGGGATAGTATTCATGGGGACTTCTGCCCACCCCCTCCATCTCCTCCTCCTCTTCCTGTCTGATCCCCGGGGCAGAGCATTAGAGATATTTCTGGCTGCCTCCTCCAGGCCTCTGGCTTCCCAAGTTCACACAAGTGGTCTCCATGTCCCAGCCTCACTTTGATGGAGTGAACTGGGTGGGAGTTCCCTAGCATGGGAGTTACACTCAAGCTGGTCTACAAATTTATACATAAGGATCTATGCATAGCTGTGTACTAAGGGGGAAATTCCCTTACCCTCTTTCCACCTTGTGCTTGGTAACTGTGGGCCACTCATCTTCTCCGATCAGAGGGCTCCAAAGAACACTTTCATCCTCCCAAAGAAGTCCTGCAGGTAAGGAGAGGGCAGCTAGACATCTTCTAAAAGGCAGATGCCATCTTATACAGGTCTGGGCTTTAGTTTCCTCCCTATAGAACAAAGTGAGAGAAAATAATCACTAAGCTACTTCCACCTGACGTTTTGGGACCTGGAGTCTTAGCTGACCACCCACAAAAGTTCTGTGCAGTGGGAAAAATGCCAGAGTGAGCAGTATGAGGCCTGGAGCTGTCTTTACAAAGCTACAAGACCCTTGGAAATTACTTTTCCCTCTCTGCTCCATGTCCTCCATTATAAATGAAATGATTGAACCATCTGAGTCTCAGGTTTTTTCCAACTGTGACCTTCAGGTTCCAGGGGACTGCCTGACCTTTGTAGCACAGAAAGGCAACAGAACACATTGATATGGTCACACATTCGACAGTCAGATTGACTATTTTCCAGTCCTAGGTCTAACACTCTCTGGCTATCACTAAAAGCTTTTGGTGCCTCAGTCTCCTCATCTGTAAAACAAGGCCATTAATAACATCTAATTCATAATATTGCAGTGAGTAATAAATGGATACTATCTATTAAATGGAGGGAATCAGCATTGTATTAACTCAGGATTACTGCAAGGAGTTAATATAAAGTGATTACAATTAATGCCTGACACGTAATGCAATTTATGTGTTACTATTTCAAGAAGCTCTTCTTTCTATCCATAAGCATATGATTCCCCCAGCAGCCCCTCCTTCCTTTTCCCCCGAGCCACTTAGCAAAGGAGGAGCCTGGAGAGTGGGGTATAGACACCCTCTTCCTATCCCACATCTAGGAGCTTACTGGTTGCCCACCTGCAAAGCAGAGTTGCTATCCTTTCCTTTTTACAGAGAAGAAAACTCAGTCTCAAAAAGAAATTGGACTAGCCCAGAGTCAGGGTCGGAATTCCAAGCTAGATTAAAACCCTGGTCCTGGACTCCAACCTGACCCAATGTATTTGCTCCATCTCTGCCTCTCCCTCCAACCTGCCTGTCCCATTCCTCTGAGCTGACGGGATGGGTTGGGTATTAATCCCGTCCTTGCTTCTTAACAGCTGAATGAACTTAAATAAGTCACCTAAACTTTTGCACAGATACGGTCCCAATACTGTGAAGGAGGTGTCATTGTTGGTCCAGTTTGGAACATAAAACCCTGAATCAGGGAGTTAGGGAACTTGCACAAGGGCACACAGCTGGTATGATGCGGGTTGGACGAAATCTCTTTGCAAGCAGCCCTCATGGTGCCCAGTATGCAGTAGGCATTCAGTATATGGTCACTACTATTACTGTTTCTCCTGAGGAAATTGAGTGGCCATGCAGGTCTCCAGATGCCCTTTGGGCCCGCAGCCATCCAGCGTGCGGGCCACTGCGTCACATGAGCCGTACTAATTTTAGCCCTGGAGATATTTATATCCCCTGGGGAAATTTCTTCCGCTCTAGGAGAACCCCAGAGTCCGTGGCCTCCAGCCCTCAGGCTCACCATGCTGCGGGGCCCAGAGGGGCCGGTGCAGGTCTGGGTGGGCGGCCAGCTCTTCCAGGCAGACCAGGCCCTGCTGGTGGAACACTGCGGCTTCTTCCGCGGCCTCTTCCGCTCCGGCATGAGGGAGGCGCGCGCCGCAGAGGTGCGCCTGGGCGTGCTCAGCGCGGGCGGCTTCCGAACCATGCTGCAGGTGCTGCGCGGCGAGCGGCCCACGCTGGCGGCCGACGACGAGCTGCTGCAGGCGGTGGAGTGCGCCGCCTTCCTGCAGGCGCCGGCGCTGGCGCGCTTCCTAGAGCACAGCCTCACGTCGGACAACTGCGTGTTGCTGTGCGACGCGGCCGCCACCTTCGGGCTGCGCGACGTCTTTCACAGCGCCGCGCTCTTCATCCGCGACGGCGCCCGGGAACTGGCAGCGGAGCTGGCGCTGCCCGAAGCCCGCGCCTACGTGGCGGCGCAGCGGCCCAGCAGCTATGTGGCCGTGAGCACTCACGCGCCCGCGCCCGGCTTCCTGGAGGACGAGTCGCGCACGCTGTGCTACCTGGACGAAGAGGAGGACGCATGGCGCACGCTGGCCGCGCTGCCCCTGGAGGCCAGCACGCTGCTGGCAGGCGTAGCCACACTGGGCAACAAGCTGTACATCGTGGGCGGTGTGCGCGGCCCCAACAAGGAGGTGGTGGACCTGGGCTTCTGCTACGACCCCGATGGCGGTACGTGGCGCGAGTTCCCCAGCCCACACCAGCCGCGCTATGACACTGCTCTGGCTGGCTTCGACGGCCGCCTCTACGCCATTGGGGGCGAGTTCCAGAGGACGCCCATGAGCTCTGTTGAGTGCTACGACCCGGCCGTGGGCTGCTGGAGCTTCGTGGCCGACTTGCCTCAACCGGCCGCAGGTGTGCCCCGCGCCCAGGCGTGTGGCCGCCTCTTCGTATGCCTGTGGCGGCCGGCTGACACCACAGCCGTGGTGGAGTACACAGCGCGGGGTGACATGTGGCTGCCGGTAGCTGAGCTGCGGCGTTCACAGAGCTATGGCCATTGCATGGTGGCCCACCGCGACAGTCTCTACGTGGTGCGAAACGGACCTTCTGACGACTTTTTGCACTGTGCCATCGACTGCCTCAACCTGACCACGGGCCAGTGGACAGCGGTGCCCGGCCAGTTCGTCAACAGCAAAGGAGCGCTTTTCACCGCAGTGGTGCGCGGCGACGTTGTCTACACAGTCAACCGCGTGTTCACGCTGCTCTACGCCATCGAGGGCAGCACCTGGCGGCTGCTCAGGGAGAAGTCCGGCTTTCCGCGGCCGGGCTCCTTGCAGACTGTTCTCCTTAGACTGCCTCCTGGCGCTCCAGGGCCCGTGGCATTGCCGCTGCCAGAACTGTGACTGGAGGGGACGTCCCAAGTCTTCCCTGAGCCGTGGCTGAGTGTGTGAGGCTGGCCTTAGGAGCTGCTTGGAACTTTTTGTTGACACACCCAGGTGCCTTCTGGTAGTGGAGACATGTCCAAGAACCTCAGGGAGCAATGAACATGCCGGGGTCTGATCCTTCAAATCACTTGGGTTCTGCTGAGAACTGGTGGGACACAATGCCAGTGAAAAGGATTGGGGAAAGAGGTGTTAGGATCTGAATAATCCAGACTTGTATGTAATGGGTCAGTAATTGAGCATGGCTAGGAGTGGATTATGTGATGTTAATTAAACTACCAGTCAATAAACAATAATTAGGTACTTTGTATCTATTACACAGTGCTAGGCCTAATGAAAGCTTTAGTTGACATACAGGGGTCCAGGAAGCTTAGAATCTAGCCCAGAAAAAATCCTAACAGTTACAGGACAAGAATAAGGTTTACACACGCTTGTAAGTAAATCTACAAAGGGTTGACATCAACATGCAAGATTTTAAAGAACCACTCATAATATAATATTAGGTCATTAAATATAAAATATCTGATTTCAAATCAACTTTATTATATCTCAATCAGTGCAATTAAAATATATTCCTAAACTGTTGCCCTTTTTTTTTCAGACAGAGTCTCATTGTTGCCCAGACTAGAGTGCCTTGCTGTCAGCCTAGCTCACAGAAACAGCTGGGTTCAAGCAGTCCTCCTGCCTCAGCCTCCCAAGAAGCTCAGACTACAGGCACCTGGCTAATTTTTCTATTTCTAGGAGAGATGAGGTCTTGCTTTTGCTTAGGCCAGTCTCAAATTCTTGGGTACAAGGGGATCCTTCCCCCTCAGTCTCCCAGAGTGCTAGGATTACAGGTATGAGCCACTGTGCCCACCCCAATTTTGCCATCTTAATCATAGCTTGTTTGTGCCAGCAGTGAAGGAGCCTGGAGAGCAAGTGTTGATGAAATTGCGAAAGGTAGTTTCCACTTTTTGTTGAGAATTGAATATTTTTCCTTGCAACAGGTGTTCCTCCTAAAGCAGTGGTTCTCAACCTTCCTAATTCCGCGACCCTTTAATACAGTTCCTGTGGGTTGTGACCCACAGGTCAAGAACCGCTGTTCTAAAGGCTGGAGGAAGTAGTAGTCAGTTGCTTTGAGGTCTGGTGAATATGGTGGATAACAAGAGTTTCCAGTCCAGCTTCTGTAGTGCAGGCAGCATTATTTGTGTGATAGCATTGTCTTGCAAGAGGATTGACCTGTCCTTATTGACCAGTCTCAGCTACTTAGTCGCAAGCATCCTCACCATGTTATCCACTTGGTGGATATCTGTTGTAATTGCCGTAGACTTTCGTTGTAATTGATTGACCAGGTTTCTTGAAGCTATAGTGGATGATATCAGCACTAGACCACCAAACAGACATCATTAGCTTTTTCTGATGAATATTTGGTTTTGGACTGTTCAGCACTTCATTTTTATCCAGTCATTGTGCTGAATGCTTGGAACTGTCAAAAACAATCTATTTTTCAGGCAGCCCATTTGGGATCCCTTCTATTATGTTGGAAGCTTTTCTATTTTTTAATAACTGCTTTATGGCTTAAAAAATCTTATTTTTTAAATCACATATAACAATACAGTGTAGAAATGGTTCCTTTATGTTGTGACAGCAAAGAAAGGCAAACTTGCAGATAATTTCTTTTCTGACCCTCATTGAATTTATGTTGAATTCATCTATCCAGGTTCTTACCTTGCTGATTTGTTTCAAATGGTCCAATATTGTTGGCATAGTAACATCAAACTTTGTTGCTAATTCACACAGAGGTTGAGATGGACTTGCTTTCTCTATATTTCAGCTCATCATTATCCACCTTGGTCTCAGGTCACCCACATGGCTCATTTTCAAGATTGAAATGAACAGAACTTCTCAAGCCATTGAGGTACTGTGTGTTCCTTAGCCACATTCTTCCCAAACACTTAGTTGATATTTTGAGCGTTCTGCATTGCGTTGGTTCCATGACAAAATTCATATTCAGAAATACCACAAACATTTGACTTAGGGTTTCACAAAAAAAATGATGTAAAAAAATTTGTGTTTGAAAGAATGAAGATGTTAAACAAGTGTAAAGTGAAATGTCAGATATCATCTGTCAAACTTAGTACTTAAGGAAATCAGACATCTTGTATTTAATAACCTAATAAAAGTACTGAAGAAATGATGGCAAAAGGAAAATAGAGAAAAAATACATAACTGGACAGGAGTATACAAACTACGTGGAAGAGACAGGCAGGATACAATTGGCTGTTGAAGGGGGAGGCTCAGACTGGAAACAGCGCAGAAGAGGAGAGATGGGGAAGGCCAAGGGCAGAAGGGAAGGGTCTCTATAAGCCCAGTCTTGAAGGTCAAGCAGCTATGGATGGAGGCATCTGGGGAGGGAGTGAGGCTGGGTGGACTTGTAGCAGATAACTGAACTAAAAGTAGAGTAAGACCTGTGGGAAAGAGAAAAAATTCTTGACATTACTTTTTGGAGATGGAGAGCCTCTGGGGAGCGCCCAAGTGTAAGCCTCTTGCCCATCCTCTTTTAGCGATCTCCAGAGGCAGTGGACTGTTAACCCATATGACTTCAGGTCACTCAAGGCTCAAATCTAGCCCTGCCTTATCTTCCTTACTTGTATCCTCTCTTCTACATTCTGTAGGCTCACCCTCTTCTAGCTTCTGCTTCTGTCGTTCTTTGGTCTCTTCTGTGTCTGTTGGTTCTGTATCAGCCTCCTCTTTGCAGGATTGGCTGAAGCAGCTCTTCACTTCCCTGACCCCTGGCTATAACCTGGTTCTGTGGTGTGCAGCTGTACACACATGCAGATCGTGAGGGCAGAGTCTGTGCTGTTAACTGAGCTGGATTACTTCCAGGTGGCAGGCCATTATTTAGGGTGCTGGCCTCTGTTGTTAAATGAGGACTCTTGTCTCTCAATTATGGAATACCCATCTCTGGCTTCTGTGCTGATTCCTGCCCCAGCCCTCCAGCAGACTTCTCTGAGTGGTCCTAAATAATCCCCATCCTCTAAGACCTGAGGCCAATGGGAAATCCTGGCCTCATCAAAGGTGGAGAAAACATCAGCATGGCACCTTCTGGACATGGAGGCTGGTTTCAAGGCTGTCTCTAGCTGTCCCTACTCCTAACCTATGTCCCAAGTCTGTCGAGCCCTGCACTCAGAAGCCTGGGACTTCTGGCCCTGGAGTAGCCTAGTCTGATGAGTCACAGCAGTAAACCCTGACTTTTTCTTCCTGTGAATAATGTGCAAAGTACTTTCACATCCATCTTCCTCCTCCAAACCTGCCTCGGGCTTGGGAGTTGCGTACCCTCACCCTGTGGCAGATAAGTGAAGCTCAGAAGTTGAGTAGCTGGGCTCGGCGCCTATAGCTCAACCGGCTAAGGCGCCAGCCACATACACCTAAGGGGGCGGGTTCGAATCCCCAGCCCGGA